TTGATTTGCTATATGTTCCAATAATTTAGGAACTTTCACCACTGTAACTAAGCCAAGTTTTACTACCTCTACTGCTTTTTCTGAATGTTGTATGGAAAAGCACATGAATCTGACCTTTGCAGAGTTTGTAAGTAAACCATTTTTAACCTACCCAGTGTGCGGTCTTTTTCTATGCTAGCAGAAGATGGGAACTTTTGAAAGAACTTAGAAGGGCATAGTTTTTAAATATATTTCCATGCTTTACTTTGCTGCCTATTTTGTGATTTTAAATCTCTGCTGGAGTTCTGTCACCAAAATGTTCCTGCCCCAAACTTGGATCTTGGCATCCAGGAATTCTCCTTTATTTCTATATTTATTTTTTACTTGAACAGACATATATCATCTGCCCTGTTGCTCCTATAGACAATAGTTTGAATATTTTATCACTCTCAATGACTGTGTGCTGTAAATCTTTTACATGCAAGGGCATTCCTCTAAAACTCAGCCTGAAAAAACAAGTCAGCGATTACTGGAGGTGTCAGTCTAAGTTATTATTAGGGCAAGCCTAGGGAATTGAACAAATTCCTAAGAGTGAGCTACAAAACTGCTGCTTGGCCACTACTTGGCACTCCATTCAACTTGATGGCAAATAACATCATGATCCGTGATAATAAATTGAAGTCCTTCAGGCTTTGCATGGCTGGGCATCATGATTGGGAGGGACTGGATAAATATTGCGGGGAGAGCAACTGTTATGTGAAGTGCCCTGCAATTCACTGTGAAATAAGTGTGCCTCAAAGGAGTATAGGCAGACCTGGCCTAACCCCAAAACATACAGGTGCCCAGAAACACAGCCTGAGGAAGGAATAATTTTCCATATCCATGGCACTTCAGTTTCCATTTTGCTCCAAGTTCTGACTTGCTGGTGGTGACAAGCAGACCCTCCAAGTGTCCCTATTTTCCAGGGACAGTCACTGATTTACAGAAGCTGTCCTGGTTTCTGATTCAATCCCTGAATGTCCCACTTTTCCTTAGGATGCCCCTATTTTCATTGGAGAGTATGGAGTTATGTGACCCCCCAAGCCAAGGAGATAAGTAACTACGCAACCTTTAGAAGACATCTGAAGGCAGCCCTGTATAGGAAAGGGGTTTTTTTAATCTTTAATATTTTATTATGTTTTTATATATGTTGCATTCCGCCCAGAGTGGCTGGGGCAACCCATTCAGATGGGTGGGGTATAACAACAACTACTACTACTACTGCTACTACTATGGAATAGCACGTCCCTTTTTTCATTGGAGAAATGTTGGAGGGTACTGACTAGGAGTAGTGAGAGTGAAGACCTACCAGAAAATGTCCCAGTAATGGCTCATGTAAAGAAGTTATTTATGTTATTCAGACAATTTATATACCACTTAATAACAACTCTGTTTAAGTGGTTGTTGGCTCAAGATAGCAGTGAAGAAATAGATGGTTCGCTGACTTCCTCTCTTCCCAGTTACAGAAAGCTTTCTGCTTTCTTGGTGTTCATGGCTGCAATTCTCCCTCTCTTCCTTTGCAGTTACAAAAAAAGGGTGAGGTTTATTTACCTATTTTCAGCATTCTTAGTCTTGTTCCCATTCTCTCCCGAGGACCAATAATGGAAAAAAACTAGAGGATGAGCTGTTCGGGGTTTTTTTTTGTGTGTGTGTGTGTGTGTGTGTGTGTGTGTGTTTTTAAAGCCCCATGAGTTACGTTGAAAACCGTGAGCTAATTACATGCATCATCAGAATGAGAATCTCATTTCCGTGAAGGTGGTAGATGTCAAGCCACAGCAGGTGAACAGGCAGTTATTCCTAGCTTGTCTTTGCACTGGCTTTTTCCATTGGTTTAAACATGGTATTTAGCACTGTTAAATGGGCATTGCACAGCAGAGTCCACAATCGATAGCTACTAAAACCAATTTAGCTAATGCAGTGAAGCTTCATTTTTAGTAGCTGGGAAACGTTTCATCAAACCATAAGGCAGAGCTGTGTGTACTCTGTACTAAATGTACAATTCTGCAACGCTAACTTTAATAAGATGCTAAGAAAATCCAGAATCTGTTACATGTGTAAATTATGCAAAACAAGTGAGAAGATTTGCATTCTTGCTTATTTTGCATTATTCATTGGCTACAGGGGACAAAAAGCCTGTCCAATTAAAAACTAAAAACCTTATTTAACCATCCCTGTGACTTCTGAGATTCACACAATTCCAAACATACCTTTTCAGCCTTAAGACCAAGAAGCCTGACTGAAAAAATAATAAAATTAAAACAAAAGGAAGCTGAATTTTGCAGCCAGCAGTGTATTCTGTGACTTCTTATGTATTCCTCTAATATTATACATAGCCAGCTTCTGAGAAATTAAACTACCACTCTGCCATGAAAGAGCTTTCATGGTGGGCTTATTCCTGTATTTATCAACTTGCCCAGTTGGATGAGTGCTTGAAATCAGATCACAGAGTAAAAGTGCATACGTCTAGTGGGGTCTCTTTTTTAAGGCGATAGCTTTCTTGTATTTATTGGACTGCTGTGATCTGTTGGAATGCCCCACCATAATCCTGAATATTCACTCTGACTATCTGGTTTCCTTTCAAATCTCTTCCTTTGGAGTGAACATAAGAAAAGCCCTTCTGGATCAGAGTAAAAGTCCATCTAGTCCAGTATTTTCTTTTCACAGTGGCCTACCAAGATACTTGTGGTTAGCACAATATCCCTATCCTACTGCTGTTTCCTAGCAGCTGGTATTCTCAGAGATATGCTGCCTCTGATTCTGCAGGTAATATAGGCATTACTTCTAGTACTAATGGCTATTATTATTATTATTATTATTATTATTATTATTATCCCACCCATCTGGGTGGCTTACAGCATACCTTAAAAACACAATAAAAACATCAAGCTTTAAAAACCTCCCAAAACAGGGTTGCCTTTAGATGTCTTCTAAACGTTGTGTATTTTTTTATCTCCTTGGCATCTGAAGGGAGGGCGTTCCACAGGGAGGGCACCCCCCTCCCCCTCCCTGTAACTTCGCTTCTCTCAGTGAGGGAACCAGCAGAAGACCCTCTGAGGAGGACCTCAGTGTCTGGGCTGAACGATGGAGGGCGGAGGCGCTCCTAACCCTCCCTTAATTCTTCTAATCTTTTGAAGCCATCGAAGCTGGAGGCCATCACTGTGGGAGTGAATTCCATACTGTTTAACTATGTGCTGTGTAGTTAAGTATAGTACCTCCTCCTGCCTTTCCTGAAACTTCCAAAATTCACCTTCATTGGATAGCCCTGAGTTGTAGTGTTACGATAGGGTGTCTAGCTGCTTTTGTCAGACCATGTATACACCTCTGTCACATGTCCCCCTTACCTGCCTTTCGTCTCAACTAAAACGCCCCCAATGCTGTAACCTTGCCTCATAAACGTCTTGCTTCAGCCGCTTTGATCATTTTGCTTGCTCTTTCCTTCCCAGCTCTTCTACAGTGTCCTTTTTAAGGAGTAGCAAGCAACTACACTGAGCATCCCAAGTTGGGGTCACACCATAGATTTGTATAATGGCCCTATGATATTGGCAATTTTATTTTCGGTTCCTTTCCTTAATGGTCCCTGAATATGGAATTCATATTTTTCACAGCTGCCGCACATTGAGTCAGGTTTGTACAGTGGTACCTTGGGTTACATACGCTTCAGGTTACATACGCTTCAGGTTACAGACTCCGCTAACCCAGAAATAGTACCTCGGGTACTCTGAAAACATGGCTACCTTCATGACCTAACTCTAGGTGATTAATGAACAAGTTAAAAAGCACAGGGCCTTGAGGGGACTCCGCTTTCTGTATCCCTCTATAGGGAGGATCATCTTCTTTTTAAGAACATACCAACAAAAAACAAAGTCAATATGTTAATACACCAAGATGACTAAATTATGCTAGTAGGAAAAACTGACTTGAGGTCTCTGGATTTGAGGAGCTGCAGGACAGTGCTTATACTTCAGTTCTCCAGACATGTACACAAATCAGTTTCTCCAAAGTTTGTGTTCACACATGCACTTGATAACAACAATAATAAGTATTATTATTATTTGTTTACTCAGCATTTGATGACTGAATGTGTGGACTGACTCCATTTAAAAGCTCTGCATCCTGAGATAATTTACTGCTAGTAAGTAGACACTGAAGTCTTCTCAGCTACTATAAAGAGTAACAAGTAATTGTTGCTTTGTAAGAAACATTGGAAAGCATTGCCTCGATGCAGAGAAAGGCATAGCCCTATAATGAAGAGGCTGCAGTATCTAATTGGGACAAGGTTCCTTTGTTTCACTTGCAAGTAATGAAGCTCCATCCATCTTGTACACATAAAATGCACATCCTTCTTTGTCATCGTGATATATTTCCATGTGTGAGCACATAAATAGTGATAATATATGGGAGGAAACTCTGGTGTGCAGCTGGCATGCATCCCAGTATACATAAACTTCTGATTTAAAATAATAGGGACATGAAGAGGATGCCAGGATGGAATTCTGTTGTTTCTAAATATGCTGGTGAAATTCATGGTTAGAGTCAATTAAAACGGAAACACTTTATTATAGGATTAAGGTAAAGAGTGTTTCTAATTGGGAAGCACATACTTTGAATATATGCTGGTTCCTTAATTAGAGATATTCTTCTGGCTTTTGGTAATCATGCAAATTAGAGGCTAGTTGGTTCCCCACAACTTTTAAGATTTCCCCCCTTAGTGGTGTTTCTTAGGATGCTTTGCAAATCATGTCATGTAGATTTGTCCACTGGTATTAGTGTCTGCAGTACTTAGGCTGTTATGTTCATAGTATTCAAGTTAGAGTCCAAGAAATATGACAATCACAGCTTTACCTTTTAAACTAATAATCCGCAGGCATGTAGGAATAAACTCTGTTGAAAACACTGAGTTGAAATATACCTTAGAATTATAGCATTGGAAGGGACCCCGGAGATCATCTGGTCTAACCCCCTGCAATGCAGGAATACACAGTTGCCCCATACAGGGATCGAACCTGCAACCTTGCCATTATCAGCATCATGCTCTATCCAGCTGAGCTATCCAAAGAACAAGGCAGCTAACAATACGGAATGTGTAAAAGTTCAATGTGAAATATTCAAAGGTTATAAAATAAAATGGTAACAGAAGTAAAATAATGGCAAGGTTTTTTTTATATAAAAATACTACTATTCCTTTCCCCCAAAGAAGGCTTTCCTAAGAAGAAATGTTGAAGCATGAGCTTTATGGATATAAAAGCATTCCATGTTTGGGAGTGGGGGACTGGAAAGTTGAACTGAGTATGAGAAACAAAAATATCTCTGGTAAATTGCAGAACAAATGATTCTGGACTGCAGCTATGAATGAATGATTAGTATAATATAACTAAGGCTGTAATTGATAAATTGATCCATTGGGACAGTTAATGGAGGACATAAAGGGGAAGGTTGTTCACTCTTGAGAAGGATGTCATTACAAGAAAATATGAAAAAATAATTGCTCTTGTGTCATTTTGCAGAATATCTAGTATTATGGAACAGATAGGGTGTTCTGGCGCAGAACAGGTGTAGATATGGTATTTAATGATTGTCACATATTGAAAACTCAATAAAGACTTTTTATATGTTATACTATATTTCTATCCCACTTTCCTGCAGAGTCCTGAAGGCAGTACTTTACATGCTACAAAATTGTCCCCATCTCTCCATGTTATCCTCACACCAATCTCCTAAATTAAGTTATGGCTGAGGTCATCCATTCATGGCTGCGCGGGGATTTGAATCCAAGTTTCCCAACTCCTAGTCTAATCCTAACTTCTACACCGCACAATTTTGTAAAGTATAAGAAACATCTTAGGGTTGCAAATAGAAAGCTGTGAATAAGAATCATCTGAGTGAGGTCTGCACTGGAGATGACTAAACAGAGCCAGACATTTACATGTGAGCCAACAGCCCTGAATGACATTTTTTAAAAAGGCCCTCATCTGATCATTCTCAACTCTATTTTATGTGTTGCCTCATATGGCTAAATATAGTTAAAATAGTTGATATTAAAACAGCTCCTAACATTTCAGTGCAATGAAATAAAGTTATTAACTGCAGTGGGTTTTAATAAGGACTTGAAAATGTCAGGAGTAGTAAAGGATGCAACCAGAACATTTGGATCCCGGGAAGGGTTGAGGAAATGCAAAATGGCAACCAAGGCTGACATTTCAGCGGGTTTAGCCGAGCTGGGGCCTACGCAGAGGACAAGATTCATAGGAAGTGTCAAAGGCCTACTTTTGGCTATATTGAAGATTAAATTTCAAGGTAGGGAAGTTGGCACAATCCAGGAAAAGTTAGTCACCACTAAGTCCCTTTGAACTCAGTGGAATCTAAGCTAGCTGTGCTTGCAACTGAAGAAAGAAATGATTAGGAGGCAATACAACAGCCGACGTCAACTATTTGATGGGGTGTCACATGTTGGGAAATTTCCATTCCACCTTTAGTTACAGACATGGGATTGTTACATGTCACATGTCTGTTTACATTCCAGCACTGTTTGCTGGCGTAAGCAGAACTTCCGCTGTGTTGTAATGCTTTTGCTTTTCTCTCTCTCTCGGAAGAGACGACATGTTTCTTTGTCTTGCTTTATGTTTAATAAATCCGTAGTATATAGTATGTCTCCACAAGCCTCAAGCCTCTATCATTTCGCAGTTTGCTCTGCTAAGTAAAGTGTGCCCATGTCAGCAGACTTGGGTCACTGATTTATGTCGCACCAGAGGTTGAAGGATCTTTGCAGCGTGACGGTTGGAAGGAGACAATCCAGCTGGGGGCTAGCCCGCTGGCCGTTCAACCCCTGGATGCCGATATCACATAGTTGATGAAGCAAATTTTCTGCCGCACCGAAGGACAGGACCTAAATATTTGGAGGAATTTCCCAATGCTACAAGCTGTTTGACAGTGGAACAGACCACTCTTGGAAGGTGGTGGACTCCTTCATTAAAGATTTTTAAGCAGAACTAGAAGGCTAGCAATCAGGAATGCCATAAGAATTGATTTTCCTGCTTCAATAGGAGGCCGGACTCCATGATGATGTTTGACTCTTCTTCCAACTCTTAATTTCCATGATTCTAATTCCTATTCTAAAGCTTTAAGTGGAATTCACTGTGGTGAACTCTGACAGGACAGTTGTTATGATTACAATTAATAAATTAAGTAATTGCCTCCTAAACAACCACCACAAGGCAATTTACAGATAAGATAATTAAAAATGCAAATACTGTACAACAAATTTAAAACAAGGCTAGTGGACACTCATTGATGAAGACCCATTTATCCAACAAAAATGTCTTCAACTGCTTCTGGAAAGTTCCACTAGTGGTCACCTGCCGTATCTCAACAGGAACACTATTTATTCCACATTATGTGCATTACGTGCAGCCACAGTAAATGTCCTGATCTGAGTTATCATGGAGCAGGCTTCTGAGATATTTGGAACTTGCAGGGGGGACTTTCCCACAGACCACAGTCATCTACTGAGTGCAACAGCTATATTTTAAGATGGCTTGTTGTGGCTACTTTGTAGACCTCATCATAGCTCCCCCCCCCAAAAAAAATAGGTATGCTCCTGAGAAATAATCACATTTGATAGATCACACTTGATGGGACTTGTTTGCACAGGGACTATTAGAATAAAAGGCAGATACCGCATGCTAATAAACCAGAACAACATTCTGTTCTGTTTGCAGAGGCGGCGTTCTGTTAAGGAGAAATATTTTGGGGGATGAATACTAATATACAGAAGCATTTTACCAAATACATTATTCCCTTAGTGGGCATTTTAACATATCAATCAATCAATATCCACAAAAACAACTTTGCTGCTTTCCAGCACTGTCCCCTCTTCCACAAAAGTCGGCTGGCATCTCAGCCCCATCAGTGACCACCTAAAATTAAGCACTCTCATATAAATGTCAGCTCCGCAGTCCCCATAACCTAATGCTGAATGAAGACTTAACAACCTTTTTAGCCAGAACTGTGAGGAAAACATGATGTCTCTCCCTTTGGTACTTCTTCTCATTAGCTGATTAGTTCTGCTGTAAATCTCAGTGGCTAGAATCCAAAGGACTGTGGAACTATTTCCAGGAGCTTCCCCCCAGAGAGGGTTTTTTCTTTATTGTTTTTAAATACAGTGGTACCTCGGGTTAAGTACTTAATTCGTTCCGGAGGTCTGTTCTTAACCTGAAACTGTTCTTAACCTGAAGCACCACTTTAGTTAATGGGGCCTCCTGATGCCACTGTGCCGCCGGAGCACAATTTCTGTTCTCATCCTGAAGCAAAGTTCTTAACCTGAGGTAATATTTCTGGGTTAGCGGAGTCTGTAACCTGAAGCGTGTGTAACCTGAAGTGTATGTAACCCGGGGTACCACTGTAGTAGTTTCCGCAACCCTCCATGCCATATGGCAAATGGCTTTTGAAACTGAGGGGGAGATTCAGAATCAGTTTATATGGTAATGGCAGCAAAGGCCGCAGTGCAAAACCTGTGCTCCTCCAGAGGTGGTTGTTGGACTCCCATTAGTCCCAATCAGCATGTGTGTGATGGGAGTTGTAGTCCAACAACATTAGGAGGGCTACCAGTACTCTATATCCCACGTAGCTGTTCATTTAAAGGGAGGCATTTAAAAAAAGCAGCTCTGCTTTAGGGATTATAGGGACGGAAGTCGCCAAAAAGATGATTACCGTAAGCTGTTTATGTATGTAATGACAGTAGCTGGGATTTCTTTATGCACAAAAATGAAAGGAAGATGTTCCCAGCAAAGAAGAATGCATAAGTAAAGTGATGAACTATGCGAAATTGGCAAAGCTAACAGTCAGAATAAGAGAAGCTAATGATGATTGTTTTGTGGAAGAATGGAAGCCTTGTTTGGAATATATATATATTTTAAAATCATATGATGAATTCGTGAGCAGGATTTGAACTACGAGCAACAGAAGGAATTAGAGATTATTGTATGGTGGTTGTGATTTAAGAGTGATGGTCAGGGTGCAGTAAGGGGGAAGAATTAATAACACCATGGAAAACAGGAGGAGAAGTCAATAAAACCAAAGGAAAAAAAATTATGTTTTGGTGTGTGTATATGTGAAATTGTTGAAATTTAATAAGAATATAAACTGTGCATATATATATATATATATATATATATATATATATCCACCATGCAAGAGAACAACCCCTTTCCAAGAACCTAAGTAGCTCTATAAATCCCAGACAATATTTCTTCTCATTATCTCAAACTATGCTATACTATAAATCAGGTCCGCACAACTTTCTACCCAGCCAAACATAGCCCACCAGCTATATATATTGTGACTGGCTCAATGTTTTGACAATTCCCTTGTTTTTGTAGGCAAGTTTATCTAGGCCTTGGGGTTAGGCTACCATGGTGTGGACGGCGGTTGGCTCAGAAAGACAGCCTTTTAATCCTCAACCTGATTTACTGAACAGCGCCACAAATGTGCTTGGCGATTTACAGAGTAATGTCAGCCAAAAAGTGAGGGCCCTGCCCCAACGAAATTTTGTCCTCAGATTCAACAGCAAGAGGAGACCACAGAGGGAGGAAGACCTGTGGGAAAGGGTTGAGATAGAGGAGCAAGGCTAATGCCGAATAAATGAGAGCAAGTTATTTATTAATTATTTTAGGATTCATAAACTGATTTACAGCCTGAGGCCAATGTGGTGGGCAACAAATTAAACAGAAGATAAAATCCCCAAAGCACAAATTCTAAAAACAATTGAAACAATTGTCACAAACTCTAAAAACAACCAATCTATTCATATTAACTATTTTTAAAAAAAGAAAAAAACACACAATTCCTACAGTTGTACAGTTAATATTTTATAAGTGACTGGGTCACACCTCAGGGAAAGCCTTCTTTTTTTAAAAAAATCAGAAGGTACCTAAACATTATGACGCTTGGTGCCGGATTCATTTCAGCTAGAGGACTGGGGCTGCGACATGAAAAGCTCCTAGTACCTATGGGGTATGCCGTATTCTCAGCAGTGCCCCATCTGAGGAGTGCCGTTGCTAGACAAGAAT